CACCCCAAAACCCAACCCAATCCTTTTAACCCTAACCATCCTTTTAATCCTAAGCAGCCTTATTTGTTTCTCCATTTCTCTAGTGACTGCTTTTGCCTCTCACCCTCGGACTCTCACACACACACACTCACTTAAGTCATCTTCCACCTTCCCTTTTGGCCCTCCCCTACAAATCTCAAACCCTAAATCCCTCAATCCCTTCATTGCCGCCCTTTTACCTTTCTCTATTTCACATCTCACCCTTTTGCCTGAAACTGGAGTCTGGACTGCTACTGCGCCTTTGCTGCTGCTGCGCCATGGCGTTGCACCACGACTACTGTTGCGCCACTACTGCTGCTGCTCAAAGTCGGAGTCGAAGTCGATTTGTGGACTGTTGAATTGCCTCTGCGACTGTTGCTAAGCTGTTGAACCATCTTTGCTGTCGAACCACTCCACCTACTGGTAGAAGCTACATATCCAAATGGTAAGAAGTTTAAATAATTTGTTTATGGGTTGATTTCACATAGAGAAAGTTTGAATTTTTTAGAATTTGCTAGATTCATTGACTGCTTATAGCCATTTCCATTAGTGAATTGCCTAGTTAATTTCTTTACATACAATGATATATATATATATATATATATAACATAAAAAAGTGTAGTAGCTTCTCAATAAAATCAAGAAATTGAGAAAATTATGAATGCTTGGTTGTCTATTTAATTTCTAGAGTCTATGTGAATTTTAGTAAAACTGTGATTTTGATTTATGTTTGATATAAGAAATGTATATTTAGATATTAATTAGTGGGGAATGGGGATGGGAGGCAAAATCTGCCCCCAGTCAAAAATCCCCGTGGGAATCTCCATCCTCGTCATTCGCGAGGATGGGGACGGTGAGGGACTCCTCAACCTCGCGAGATCTCGTTGACATCCCTATTAATAGGCTATTAGTTGACTATTAGTTGATAAAAATCTACTTTCAGCTAACAAAATTAATAGTCAATATAAAGTGAGAGTTATTTTCTTTGATTTTAGAATGTGAGAGATTAAAACCTACAAATCTAATAAGGTAAGGGGCTAAAAGTGTTATAGTATAAAATAAGGGACTAAAACCTTCAAACTTAATAAGATGAGGGGCTAAAATAAATTTTTACCTTAGAAATGGGTCGAATTGACCCCTTTAACTAAGAAGTAAGGACAATGCACAACCTATCACCAGTGACCTCTCTACCTATACAAATACATATATAAATTTTATTTTTTAAAATTTAAAAATATAAAATTTATTAATTTTTAAATAAATTAATATATTTTTATTTTTATTTAAAAAAATTAATTTTATATTTAAATTTAAAAATTATTTTAATAATTTTCCTAAAATTTCTCACTCAAAATGAAATAAGGTTTTCAGCTTTGTCCTTACACGCACATATGAATATATGATGTGAAAGTATACATGGCCATCTCAATTGGGCCCTTTCGGTAGGCTAGAAGCCTAAAACTGACAAATCTTGTTGAAGATAGGAGCCTCTAGTTGGCCTAGATATAAATTATTGGGTCGGTCCTATAACCGCCTGTTTACCTAAAGGCAGGGATGGCTTTCTTTGATTGCTCTCAGTTTCGATTCAAGTCTCGGCTCTAGCAACACCAATCTGCACTGTTCTTTTTTCTTTTTTTTTTTCTTTTTGATAGTAGAGAATTTAAGAGAAGGAAAACTAAGTATAGAATCTAGATTTTAAGTGTCTGAACATTTTTTTTATTGGGTGGTTAGTAAATTATTATGGGTTAAAACCCCGATTCAGTCT